GTTGTGAGCTTTGAAACTCTATTTTCTCTTGTTCAGATCGGTATGCTTTCTTCATTGAAGTTGTTCCTTCATCGTCTCTTTCATAACATATCAAAAATTCAGAATGAACTAATGGTTAAATATTTCCAGATCTTCGAAACATCACAGCAGCTTCGAAATCTGCAAGAATCCGACTGTCATGTTTGGAGCTTCAACACTTTAATTTCCGTCGCTCAAACAGAAATGGTTCCTTCTTGAAAGTTGTTCATATCTGCTCAAGAACTATAGGGCGTCCAAAATTCAGCTCCATTGGAGAAGAGCAGAGGTTGCAGAAATTTGATAGATGAAAGGAGGCGGAAGAAGGGAGAGAGAGAAAAAGTCTCTTGGGTTGGATTTCTATTTTGGGGCAGATTCCAATTTTTGTAGCACCTTCATTATTGATGAATTGCTTGTACTTTTGTCCATTATGAAACTTGGGACTTTGGCTTGTTGTTGGATCTATTATAATATGTTTGGGAACATATATAAGTGAATAAATAAGAAGGAAAATTTTGGGCCCTTATGGGTGTAAAACAAAAAATGTTTATGTTTACCCAAGTGTTTTTGTACAAGTTCAAGGGCATCTTGGGTTTTGTGAACAAAATTTGTTTATTTGGAGCAAGGTTTTGTGTTGAAGCTTTGTAGGTGAAGCTTTGGTGTTGAAGCTTTCTAGGTGAAGCTTTGATAAGTGAAAGCTTTGTAGATGAAGCTTTGTAGATGAAGCTTTCTAGGTGAAGCTTTGATGGTGAAGCTTTGAATGGTGAAAGTATGTAGAGGGAGCTTTCTAGGTGAAGCTTTTTTAGGTGAAGCTGTGTAGGTGAAGCTTTTTTTGAAGCTTTTTGGGTGAAGCTTTTGGGTGAAGCTTTTAGGTGAAAGCTTTTTGGGTGAAGCTTTTTGAAGCTTTTTAGGTGAAGCTGTTTGGGTGAAGCTTTTTGGAGGTGAAGTTTTTTTTTTTTTTGGGTGAAGCTTTTTTAGGTGAAGCTTTTTGGGTGAAACTTTTTGGATGAAGCTTTGATGGTGAAGCTTTGTAGATGAAGCTTTGTAGATGAAGCTTTCTAGTGAAGCTTTGATGGTGAAGCTTTGATGGTGAAAGTATGTAGAGGAGCTTTCTAGGTGAAGCTTTTTTAGGTGAAGCTGTGTAGGTGAAGCTTTTTTAAGTGAAGCTTTTCGGGTGAAGTTTTTTGGGTGAAGCTTTGTGGGTGAAAGCTTTTTAGGTGAAGCTTTGTGGGTGAAGCTTTTTTAGGTGAAGCTGTTTGGGTGAAGCTTTTTGGAGTGAAGTTTTTTTTTTTTTTGGGTGAAGCTTTTTTAGGTGAAGCTTTTTGGGTGAAAAACTTTTTGGATGAAGCTTTTTGGGTGAAGTTTTGGAGGTGAAGCTTTTCGGGTGAAGCTTTTTGGATGAAGCTGTTTGGAAAGTCGAGGTCTTCTCATTTAGGTGAGTCTGGCTTCCACCTCCCACTTGTTGATAAAAGGATGGTTGTAGGGGGTTTCTCCTGATATGTCTTTGCTTCGGCGGAGGCATGGTTATAAGCCTGCGCCATCACCTCAGAGTAAGTCTTCCAAGTATTGGCATTGATCATGTATTTAAAGAAACAATCACGTAGGCCTGCCGTGAAGGCTTTGAGGGCAGTCTTGTCGTCTGCCTCGGCACACCGGGAGTATTCATGGCTGAAGCGGCCAGCATACATACGTAATGACTCGTCTGGCTTCTGGCGGATAGTGTACAGGTCATCAATTTAGAGCTCCACCAGAGAGGGTGGAGGGGAAGAGAAGACATCGCTCTTCGTCGGTGTGCATCCGGTATGCCATGGTGGACTCAAAGAGGTTAAGGTGCTCAATCGAGTCCTCTTTCCCAGTATAAAGTTGCAAGCCAAGCTTCTGCTTTGTCTTTGCTTGAAGGGGGGTGTTGAGGATCCTCCTTGTAAGAGGGCCAGGCCTGGGTTGGTTCCAGTCAGGTATTTCAGCCTGACGTTCAGCCTTCAACTTGTTTACTTCCTCAAGAAGTTGTAGGACAAGGGGGTCCTGAGCGGAGTTATGTGCCACTGGAGCTTTCTTTCGTAAATCTCCATCTCCTCTTGGAATTAGGAAGGTTTGATCAAGGGCATGTGATTTTTCCCTGGACTCGCTGTACTGGCTTCCAGGGTATGTCTGTCGGAACACCTCTGAGTCCCATGTACCCTCATGTCTCTCTAGGACTTGTTGCCCCTTCCCCAAGTTGGTGGCCGGCTCGGGCCGTGGCAGGGGACCGAGTCTCTCAGAGAAATCCTTGGGTCATTGATCTTTGAGCTTATATGGATGGATGGAATTCTCTCGACGTTGCTTCAGGAAATCCCGACAATCGCGAAAGACGGCTTTCGATCCTTCTGCCCCTTCAGCAAAGAGGTGTCTCCCTCCGCTTCTCATGGTTCGGGTCGAAGCAACTGGGTTAAGAGAAGCCTCATGTTGATTATCAAGTCGAGGGGTAATCTGTTCCCTATCAGGGATATCTATGTCGAATGCATGTGACCCTCCATGTTGGAGGGCACCCAGTTGATGGTTGACTTCCACGGGGGCAACAAGCTCGCGTGTCTGAGCTTGCCTAGCTTCGTGGAGTGTCTCGAAGAGCTTCTCATATTGCTCCTGGAGGACCTCATTCCTCATTGCTATCTTGTTGTTCTGAGCTTCCAACTCATCGACTTTAGCTTGAAGAAGAACTCGTTTTCCTTCCTTCTTTCGTTGTTTCGCACTATGTGCAAGGGGGGTGTCATTCTGTGTGCTGTGGCTTCCTTCGCTTCCCATGTTGGAGAGGGATGCCTGGTCAAAAGAAAGTGTACGAATGATAGAAACCAGCTTGACACAGCTGAAGAGAGTAGGAATAAGTGTCGTTTCCCACAGACGGCGCCAAATGTTGATGCACAAAATCAGCGAAGACTTTGGTACAAACAGAAAGTGTCAGGTTTTGTGACCTTCGCTTGGTTGCTTCCGTCACTAGTGAGGATAAGTACGTAAATGAATAGAGACAGAGAAGCAAACACAGGATGTACGTGGTTCACCCAGATTGGCTACGTCCACGGAGTAGAGGAGTTCTTATTAGTAGTGAAGGGCTTACACAAGTACAAAGGATCAAACTCTCAATTTAGTGAGTTCTTGTGAATGATTTAACACAAAATGGCATTAGGCAATATTGTGGGGGAATGACCCCTATTTATAGAAAAACTTGTAGCTTTGTCACATTGACATGTGTCATGTTATGATTGGTTCTTGATGTTGACACGTGCTGCGCTCTGATTGGCTTCTAATCTTGACACGTGTCGAGTAGTGATTGGCCTCCTGGTCGGAGGGGAACTCTTCTGGGTCCTTGACAGTATAGCGTTGGCCGGTGCTCGGTAGTTTCGGGATTGGTCAAGTATGGTACAAACAATTTCAAAGACTGGGAACAAAATCTCTTCATTAGATTTGTGTGATGGGTAAAACGGCCTCCAGCATTGGATATCAGGATTGCACGAATTTCGGTCCCCAGTTCAACCTGAAAATCAATACTAATCTGCCATAATACATGATCTAAGCTCCAAGGTAATGAAAATCAAATTAAGTGCATTCAATCGCATATTGGTCAAAGTCAAGAAATATTCTCCAACTTTGCCTCTATAAAATGGCAACTTCTATTCCGTTTAAAAGGTTAACTATCATTACTACTTAAATACTATATTAACGCTAAATTCGTCCTCGTGGCGCCTTCAACATACTTTGTTAACTTAAGCATCGGAGGCTCTTAGGCTGCTACCACACCGTTTTCTTTTGATGCTTATTCTATCTTCCTTGCATGTTGCTTCGTCTGCCCACCCTTGATCGGAGCGCACTCGCGAAGGTCTCCACACACTTTACGTTGACTCAAGGTCCACTAAATTTCGTACATCAGCAGAGTGTGTGAGATGCTAAAAAAGTGTATGTATATCATTTCTCATTATCAAACTTCACTTTTATATGCATCTTTCAAGATACGCATAAACAAAAAAAAACCCAGCAACCAACCAAATTTTATAAAGTTGTGGTAAAAACTGCTTCGAAAAAAATATTGTCCCAAAAAATTGAGACAAAAGGAACGAGAAGAATAGTGTCAAACTGAGCAGCTAGCGAAAGCCACCCATGCTATGCAAACTCATAGCCAAAGCTAAAGTCAAGGCCACTCCACTGGTGATTGGGCTATATTTAAAGTTTGAGTCGAGCCGGATAAGCAAAGAAAGATAACACGAGCGGGCATGTACTTGGTTCTTTTTCTTCAAATATAGAGTTTGTTAGTTTAGTGGTTGCAGAAATATTAGTTTTCATTGAGGCGGTTCGTATTGCTTGGATTCGAGATTGAAAGCTTATTTGGATTGAAACTGATTCTACATTGGTTATTCATTATCTTTATAGTTCTCCTAAATCAGTTCCTTGGTTCTCTTGGTTGATTAGAACAATTGTTTATGGTGAGTATTTTTTGTACCAACATTTATCGGGAGGGTAATCAAGTTGCTGATGCACTGGCTTCTCTTAATTAGCATGGTTGGTAGTGCTTATTATTGGTGGTCCACTGTTCCAAATTCTGCCGTTGCCTCCCATGCTCGTAACCTTGAGTTTTGTCATGTTTTTCGTTTTTGTTGGTGTTTTCTTTGTTTTTCTCTTCTCAAGTTTTGGTTCCATCCCCCGCTTCTGTTCTTTTATTTTCACTTTTCTTTATTTAATAAATTTCGAAGATAGGGGGCGGATGGGCCATTCTATCAGGGAGATCCCTTTCTAATCGCTCTGAGAGGGAAGAAATTTGCCTACTTGTAGTTGATGGCTAATCCTAGGGTCTTGGTTCTTTCTTTCTGCCTTGTGCGGGTTTAGAGAGTAAGATTTCTATTATTATAATCCGACGACCAAGCCTTCTGTGTAGCTCACCTAATCCGACGACCAAGCCTTCTGTGTAGCACACTACTAGAAAATATTATTTTGCCGACAAATTCTAAGCCGACAAAGTAAAATTTTGCCTCCACAAGACTCATTCGCCGACGAAAATTTTAATTTGTAGGCTCATAATTGTTGAACTTGTGCCGACAATATTTTTGTCGGCGAAAAATATTTATGCCGACAAATAAAATAACACTCGGGAAAGCATGCAGGTTTGTCGACAATCAGAAGATGGGAACGGACTAATTTATTCTCGCGCCTTTTGTTTTTTGGTCTTTTTGATTCACCCGCTTCTTCTTTTTATCGAAAAATTCCCCCTATAAAAATCATTGTATTTTCATTGAACCCTAATCTTAATTGTCGATAGCCCACCCCTCCCCTTCTATTTGAAATCGTAACTTTCTGTCTTCCAATCGAGCTCCATCGACATCGCCGTCGCTCCGTATGCCCGACATCGCCGTCGCTTCGTGTGCTCGACATCGCTGTCGATTCGTCTGCTCGCGTCACCGTCGAAGTGCCCGACCATTCTAGCTTTGAAATTTCTAATGCCGGGTGCTTCTCTGCATTTCGTTCTCTAAAACTTTGGGTAAGTTCTCAATCTCTATCTACCCTATTCTTTCTCCGTAGCTTTTTGGTTAGTTTCAATTTTATGGTGCTTTTCTTAGATTTGTTCTACCACTGTAATTTTGAGGGATTTTAGGTAATGAATTTGGTTGAGAATCTAAGTTAGGTTTGTAATTTCTTTCTGGGCTGCCTGGGTTTGAGGATGATTAGTCTACTTTTTGAATTTTAATTACTTTTAACTTTTATTTCTGAGAAACTGCAATCAAAATGCAGTTATGGTTTTATAGTCATAATCAATTGTGAGTCTTTGCACCACATCAATCAATTCCTATGTTTAATCAATTGAAATTAGGGTCATGTTACTAATGAAGTTGTCGGGTTAAGGTTATATGATATTTTGCTTCTAGGATTTGTGTTTTTGTTTTTTAATCTTTTTCATTTTCTGTCTATTATTAATTCCTAAACGAGAACATCAATTTGGGAATGCTTCTGTGGTATTAATTTATCTTCTATCTTCATTTTATATAATTTGCTTCTGATTTATGCGTGTTATTTAGATTATTGATCAAATCAACTGTGTTGGAGGCTAGGATCTCAAATAAGTGAGTAAAAAAAATCTGAATTGTCCCTCTATTGTGCAGAACACTATGAGCAATGAGCTTTCTGCAGGTAAGTTTGATTGTGATGAGAATATATTTTTATATTTTGTTTTCCTCTGCCTTATGTTTTTCCTAAATACATTGATGACATCCCTTGCATTTTCTTGCATGTCGGAGTAGTTTGATTATGTCTAATGCTAGACATGAGCAAGAAGCATACTGGAACAATGAGCACAGATTGGCCTATACCTCTGAGATCTGCACCGCCTCTGAGGGTGACCGCTATGAGAAATCGGTCATTTTCCCATTACTCTCCCTGGTTTTTATTGCTTTTAAAGTTCCAATATTTAATCAAATTAATATTCTAGTAGTAGATATCTCTACAACTAGGCTGTATATTTCATGAAAAATTTGATATGTGGTCCAATTCTTCTGTTGCAATCCTTTATTGTTCTCGGGGTATATTTTTCTCGTTGTTTTGACAACCACCAGTCATTTTGGTACATGATTCATTTTCAAGTCAATAATGTTTAGTAAACTATTTAACTTTCTTTCATCATTAACTGGTTAGATTTTAATCCCAGCCTGTGTAGAAATGTTTAGTAACGGCACACATTCAGTTTGGTGATTTGGATTCATTTTTCACTGGTGTTTCTTTGGCATTATTTAATCTTCCATAAAAATAGTACTTGTACAGAAAGAGCTTGGGAGGCAAACAATGCCTGCTCTATGCGAAGAAGCACAAGATCAAAGAAGCTCTAGAAGGTTCGTTATCTCTCTAGTCTATAACGTATATATGATCAGTTATATATGAAAGTTACTTTTTTTCTTTTGTTTATAATGTATCACTGTCGTAAAGTCTTGTGTAATCTGGTGATAATTTGAACATGTAATTGTTTAGTTTTTCATTAAGTTATGCTGTTGATTCTTCATGGCTTTCATTTCTGAATCTCAGTCCCAAGGTCACATTAACAATACGTATACAAACGCATCTCAAAGAGACCCGAAAATTTTGATGACTACAACCTGGGACCCGAGTGCTCCACTAATACAATTTGCAAAGGTTGGCCTAGCCTTTTTCCTTACTTATCACATTATTCAAATCAGTTTTGCTGCACTCTTGTGTTCATTTTGGTGGTATCATGCTGTGTTGGTTATTGATTGTCGTTTTTGTTGCACGCGTGTCCATTTTGGTGATATTATACAAGGCGGGTGTTGATTATTGATTGTCGTTGAATCACACTGGCACAAGAACTGAAACTCTTTTTTTCCCATTGCGCTACAAATGAATCGTGGTGGCCAGGTTGGTGCACATTTTCAATGAGCCTTCTAACTATTTGGTTATTGTTTGTGTTTTGTAACATTTATTTTGCACCTATTTGGTTATGTTTGTGTTTTGTAACGTTTATTTTGCAGGTGCAGGATGTTTTGTGATGCTACATGGCAGCCAATTTTGAGGAATGACAGTAGGATAATATTATTGTGTAACATATGCTTTCGTATAAGCACTCTAGATGTACATTAAAAATTTATCAATCAATAAAGTATTATTTCTTAACAACTGTGTATTGTATTTTGATATGTTTATGTAGTTGTTGAGCATTAAAGTAATTATTAATTTTTTTTTATAAATTAAATGTCCTTCCCGACGAAACCAGTTTTGTCAAGACAGAGAAGACTATGCCGACGAAATATCCATGGTGACAAACATATTTTGTTGGCTTAAAAGTACTATTGGTCGGCTAAAATGCCTTTTACCGACGAAAATATTTGTCGGGACATATGGAAATGCCGACAAAAAACTGTTTGTCGGTAAAATTTGAACCTTAGCCGACAAAATACCAAAATTTGTAGGGAAAACTCTTAGGCGACATGCTTTGCGAGACAAAATGGCCGACAAATTTTTTCGTTGGAAAAGACTCTTTGCCGACAAATTTTGGCCTTTGCCGACAAAGTAGTTTTGTAGGTAAAGTCAAAATTTGTAGTAGTGGCATTATCATCCTTTAAGAAAAATATATATAAATTAAGCATATTGCTGATTTTATGTACTGGTTTGGTATTGAGGTGTTTTTTTATAGAAAAGTGGGTATAAAAAAAAGCTAAGCTCAAAAAGGTGATTGGTAAACACTTAAAAACAGCTTATTTTCACAGTTTTGGGTTAAAAAGCTGAAAACGCGAAGTAGCAAAAATGAGCTTATTCTCACAACACAACAGAAGCAGTTTTTCTTTTCTTTTTCAAAGCACAGTAATACCAAACCAGCCCTACATGTCCACATTTTAAAACTAAAACTTTCACTCAAGGAATACCATAAGAAATTTAATCAAAGGAGAAATTAGGTTCTCATCATTCTTTTTTCTTTTCTATTGATCAAAACCTTATTTCTTTGTAATTTATTAGGCCTAATTTGATAAATGGTCCATGTGGTAATACGATAGTTAGAAGGTAGCCCTCGTGATAAAAAAATTCGGATTTAAGCCCTCGTGTTGAAGTCTGTTAGAAATTAAACCCAAAAACAATATTTCCGTTAATTCTCTGTTATTGTAAGAACCAGCCCATCCTGCAACTGGTATAACTTTCCTTCCGTTCTTCCATGCCTTCTTTTACATGAGGTAGAGGTAGTCAATTTATTGTAGACTGATTGAACAGTTTCTGCTATTTCACTTTTCATGCCATCACTTAACCCATCAGATATGGGGCTCATTACTTGGTCCCCAACCTCCTGATAAATGTCATCGGAAAGATGTCTGGGTTTCATATTCTCAGCCCCTTCACGATTAAGCGTGGCCGATTGCTTCACAAAAGAAGTAACAACCAAGCTATCTGGGTTGCCTCCATGTCTTGCACTTGGGATGCTAACGGCTGGAGGGAAACACATGATGAAAAGAATTCATCGGAAAGATGTCTGGGTTTCATACTCTCATATAGGATTGTTGGATTCGAGCTTGTTCTTAGTTAGATTGAGCTAGTAAGTTTTTGGAACAACATTGATGAAAAATTTGTCGAAGAGGTTGCATTATCTAACCCAACTATTTAAAAAAAAAAAAACAAAGAAAAAAAAAAAGAAAAGAAGCAGCAAAAGAGAAGCTTACCGGAGAAACTAACCAAAATTTCGATTGTGGGTTTAAATCCTAATGGACTTCATCACAAAGGTTTAAATCCGAATTTTTTTACCACAAGGGCTATTTTCCGAATACCCTATCACCATGAGGACCATTTATCCAATTATGCCTTTTTTATCAAGGTCTTTAGGTTTTAATGAATGTCATTATTTCAATATACAACATAATTACATTACATTTGTAAAATATTCATTTAGTGTGAGAAAAATTATTTATAATGTATTAATTTGCAACATAATTACATAATTACATTAATTTGCAACCCTTTTTTTTCAAATTTGTACTATTTTCTTTCTAGTTTTAATTTGCACCCATGTATTAATTTATTTTTGTGCCCATATTTTTTAAAATTTCATTTGTACTCATAACTTTTTAATCTTTTATTTATACCCTAATTTATTTATAATGTACTCATTCTTCTTTATTAATGTACCACTTTGTTATGTGTAAAATGTACTAATTTTTTAACACTATGGATACATTCTTTTGCCATTTATTATTTCATATTGTTACATAGCTTTAATCCATTTAATCAATCAAAATGTTTGATTTTTTTTTATTGTAGCCGTTTCTAGTAGTATTATTTGAGGGATTTTAAATTTGTAAGATTATAAATCTCATAAGATATTAAACAATTAATGTCAAGACTATAGAAATATAAACATTAATAGTAATATAATGAGGTGTACAAAGTCAAGAAACTTTGATCAAACTTCGAATACCATTAAGGTTTTAATAAAAAAAAAAATATTAGAGACTAAAGACCGTATTTAAAGTATCCCTTTATCAAAACTTGTATCTGAAGATCAATTTTATGGGTGGGTGATGTGTATAATGTTTTCTAATTTGTGTGGGTTATGCGCCCAACTTGCTTGACCTTTGGCTCTTCTGAGTATCGAAATACTGTGGCCCCTATTAGAGATCTTGAACAATAGTAATATTCCCCTTTTACCTTGGATTTCTTGAGGCTTTTCCCTGTTTCTTTCATATTTTTGTCTTTTCCAGCTGATAAAAACAAAAGATTTATATTTATCCTTTCCGAGCATATTAGGCGAGATTTTTTTTTCAAGTAAAGCGGTACGCTATGTGTCTTAATACAAAGGAACAGTTCGATAGTAAGCATGTGTTGGTGAGTCAATTGATTTGGAGTCTTATGAATGAAATCCAAGCTACTCAACAAAATGATATATTTTCTCTTATTCTTCCATTTATTATATGACATGTGAAGTACCTGATTAAGTACCGGACACTTTAAAAAAAAAATATCGCATATTAGGCTATTTTATGTTCGTATCTTGTCATATATATCAACACTTACTCCCTTTTGTTTCCGACTTCCTACCATATGTCAAGCAATCCCCTGGTCCCTCATGACCATGGCCAAAGTTTTGGAATCTTATCTATATAAAAGAAAAGAAAAGCAATGTTAGGACGCATCCCAAACGCATATAGGTATATTCGTTTTCTTTTCCTTCCAATGTTCTATTATTCAGTTGGCCGCTAGCTTAAATTTATATGCTTTTCTCGATTGGTGAAAGATTTCAATAGCTTATTATACTTTGAGTACAAAAGGCACCAAACAATTTGAGTGAAGCATCAAATTATTGGTGGGATGAAGAAGGCAATGAACTTTCTAATTGATTTTTCTTGGTTCCGTACGTTATACTGTCTCCTTGGTTCCTCACTTTCGCTTCTGGGAAAAGTAAAAAAAAGCCAGTGATACTAGCTGGAGTATTAAGACTGAATTAACAAAATTATTATATGATAGTACCTCGTATTATATTTATACAGACTGGAAAATTCTAGACCTATAATATTATGAAATTGTTACACCAGTTTGATAGAATTGCAAGACCCTCTTGGTTTTGCATGCTAGTCTAGATGATTTAAAGCAGAAGGAAAACTTACTTGCAACTTAAATGTTAAATTGACAGAGCTCAAACTTATTACGGACTCTCAAGTGTTTTAATTTTCTTACATAACTTTGCATAATTCATTTTGATAATATTACCATATTGGCGTCCTAGTTGCAAAGTAAGTTATTCTCGTAAAAGTACCAATCATGTACGAGTACGTATGATTCTATATGAATACTGAACGTCTAAACACAAAGAAAGTCATGAATATAATAATTCTAATACTCATTTAAGTAAACTTATTTGATGTATGCATGAAATTAATTAGTAACAAAGATAATCAAGTTATAATAAACAAACACTATGTAACATGCACGAATCATGTCTCAGGGCAAACTATGCATGAATAACAAATATTCCTAGAGTAAGAATATCAAGATAGCTAGGTAACCCTTCGTGAAGAAGGATTTCGAATGCAACCAGATACATGAATAGACCCTTGTCTCTAAAGAGTAAAAATATCAAATATTATAATCTCTACTCTCTCTCCTGGCACTTTTTGGAGCAAACCCTAATGGAAGCAAGGTAGCTGCTACCACATATTGTTTTTGCACTTCTTTTTCTCTCCATTTTAATTGCATGCATCAACTATATAAACCCTAGCTAGCTAGCTGGAACTGAAACCAACAAACATCGAAGCCATTTCTCTCTTCTCTCCCATCCCCTCACAGCCAAGCTAACAGCCTCAACCTTTCGAAAATGGCCCTTGTTCCTCAGAATTTCCCTAAGGCCCCTGCACCTGCTCAGAATTATAATAACCCCCCTCTACCGGCTGCTCAGAATTATAACAACCCCCCTGCTGCACCTGCTGCTCGGAATTATGATCAGGCCCCTGTACCAGCTGCTCAGAATTATACCCAGACCCCCATCCCAGCTGCTCAGAATTACAATCCGGCTCTTGTACCGGCTGCTCAGAATTATACTGCACCCGATGCCCCAGGTGCTCAGAATTACAATGCGCCCCGTGCACCAGCTGGTCAGTATTACAATAATCCCACCGCCGGAGGACGCAGAGGCGGAGACCACTACAACCGCCCTCTGCTCAAAACTGGGCGTCGCCAATCTTCAATAACTTCTGATGACAGTATGCTGACCAACCAAATTCTGGCTAGTGACAAGTCTCATGCCCGTCCCTATGATGTCACTCTTCTTTCTTTGAAACACATTCTTCAAACCGTCGACGTCATCCTGTCCCACGTTACCCAACCTGACATCCACGGCATTTTCACTGTAAGTTTGGTTCTAACGAGATAAAGACGATAAAATCACAATCGCATAAAAATCCACTACGTTGAAATTTTATAAATGATTTAGTTTATTTATGATACTTTGTTGCTCATAATGTGACATTGTTTGTGTATAATTAGGGAGCACCAGTGCCAGGTGCACATGCCGATGCTTTGGAGCATGATAAGGCTCTTTATGCTACCATGAGTGGCGTCCATGACAACTACGATGTTCCAACCAGCCTGTTTAATGAAATTTCCTGCGAGGTTTATGATATACATACTATAGTTTATAACTAGTTGTGGCGTTCATGTGATAGATACATAAATGTGAACGTGTATCACACGTTCAAACAATAATTAATTTGATTAATGGTCTAGATTCACAGTCGGTAACATAAAAAAAATCCTTTCTTACTATAGATAATTAGCACTATTGCAAAACAATCAGCATTATGATTAATTTGTCCCTTTAATTAAATTTACAAAATAAGTGCCCTATTAATTGTCTTGGCACTCTATATATGTGTGTGACAGATGTTCTGCAAGTGGCAGTCCGGGGAAGATGCCAACAAGATAACCATGGACATATTAGACATTGTGCAACACTACGACTGGGATGAGAAGGTTGTTCTTGCTTTGGGAGCTTTTGCTGTGAAAGATGGTGAATATTGGCTTGTGGCTCAACTTTACACCGCCAACCCTCTTGCAAAAGCGGTTGGGCAGCTTAAGCAAGTGCAAGAGATACTGGAACGTGCCGGAACTAGCTTGAAGACCAAGTTTGACGCCTACAACAATCTGGTTAGGGCCGTGCTCAACGTGACCAAGTGCATTGTTCAGCTACATGACCTCCACCGCGATCCCCACTTGACAACTGAAGCAAAGTCAGCGGCTAACACTGCTCTTATCCCCACAGCTGTTTACTGGACGGTTCGGAGTATTGTAGTTGCTGGATCACAACTTTTGGGGATCACTGGCATGGGTCCTGAGTAAGTACTCGTTCTTCTGGATGCATGTGTGTGGTTTATATTCAGTCTGACAACATTAATTAACATTTTTTGACAAGCAAGAAAACGCTATGTTAAAGTTATTATGTTTTCCGTTTATTTGGCTTTTATTAGGTATGTGACAGAGACATGGGAACTATCATCCTTGGCCCATAAGCTCGAAAACATACACAGCCACCTCAAGGACAATCTCGACAGATTACAAGATATCATCCGTGAGTAACGAGTAGAGCTAGCTTATAATTAATTACCCTATATGTCTATGCAAATGCCTATCTAGAGACTAATGGTCTGATGGGATGCAGAGAGGAAGAAGGATGATGAAGCCTTAGCTGCAATTGCTTACATCTTGGAAACACCACACATTGATAACACCAAGCCTTTGAGGGTCTTGTTTTACAAGGACGATCTGCCTGCACTCTATGATTGCTACACCAAGAAGAGGGTTCGCTCTGAAATCTCACTTCTCTTCTATCCCCACAATATATATAATCAAATAGAATTGATCAACCAAGATCATTTTCAATATCATCAGGTCAACTAACCTTGATTGAAAAAATTAATAAGGAAATAGAAGTGCTGAATGATTTCATCAAGTACTTAATTATTTTTAATCAAGTGAATTCTAACAAGCTCTAATAGATGATCTTTAATTAAGCCATGCATTTAACTTGCATTAAACACATACTTGGAAGGAAAATTAATGTTAGAGTTATGATTTCAATGTTTAATTAACCAATTTAACGCCCTCATACCCAATGGATATATCAAACAGGTTGACATTGATGTGCTGAAGAGGAAGGTTGTGATACTGTTCCTTTCGGACCTAGACGTTGTCCACGAAAACGAGTACATTATTGTGCAACAAATGTACATGGAAAAACGGCATAACCCAACTAGGCCAGAGAGCCAGTACGAGGTTGTGTGGGTTCCTATTGTGGACATGTGGACCGACGCCAAGTACCAGCAGTTTGAGGAAGTTAGAAGGAACATGGAATGGTTCACAGTGTTCCACCCTTCGGTTGTCTCTCCGACTGTCATCAGGTACATCAGGAAGCAGGATAAATGGAACTACGTCAAGAAGCCTCTGCTTGTGGTGATGGACCCTCAAGGAAAAATAGTGCACACCAATGCGGTTCACATGATGTGTGTTTTTGGAAGCGCTGCCTTCCCTTTCACTAGCAACAGAGAGAAGTTGCTCTGGGACGAGGAGACATGGAGGATGGAGCTTTTGGCAGACTCCCTCGATCAAAACCTAATTACCTGGGTACATCCCTATATATTCACTTTATGATATTTAGCATGCTATGTTGTCAGACTGTTAATTAGTGTCCGGAATATTACAGTTTGATAGCATAACATGTCACTTAATGTAACAAATACTAATTCTTGAAATGACCGATTTCAGATCACAGAAGGGAAATACATTTGCTTGTATGGTGGGGAAGACATAGATTGGATCAGAAACTTCACAAAGTCAGCAAAAAAAATGGCTCAAGAAGCTGGGATCCAGTTGGAATTGCTTTATGTGGGGAGGAGCAAGCCTAAGGAGAAAGTGGTCCGGAACATCATGAACATCATCCAAGCTGAGAAGCTAAGCCACACTCTTGAGTGGAACCTCATCTGGTTCTTCTGGTTGCGTCTCGAGAGCATGTGGCAGTCCAAGGGACAACAGATTCAGTCCGAGGCTTTTCGGTCAGGTCAATTTAGGACCGACAACATAAAGAATGATGCAGTGATGCAGGGGATCATATCGATGCTGAGCTTTGGTTCAAGTGACCGCGGGTGGGCTGTGATTGGCGCCGGTTCATCAGATATGTCTAAGGCTAATGGGGAGCACATGCATAGAAGTTTGAGGGAGTTTAACTTGTGGAATAGAAGGGTGAGTGAGATAGGGTTTGTGCCCGCACTGAATGAGTACCTGGCTGGGGTTTATAAAGAAGCTCCACATCACTGCACCAGTCTCATATTGCCTGCCACTGGACTCATGCCAGAGACTGTGGCCTGCGCTGAATGCGGCCGCCTCATGGAGCGGTTCACCATGTTCCGCTGCTGCACTGATTGATGAGCTTATGTTGCACCAGACCACAAGTGTGATTTTTATGATACGTTGAGTTTCCCTTGCTGATTACAGGCTTCTGCTGCTTTTCACTACTCGAAGTTTGCTATATTATGTATGACAATAAATGTGACATCTAAATTATGCTGGTGCATTAGGTGCCGCCTACAGTGTGTTTTCATATTATGATCCAATATTATCGCTATCAATAAATTTCAATTATTTTTAATATGGGTTCATTTTAGTACGTTATTAGAGTACTAGCTATTCGCATATCAAACACTTTCACCAAATGATGCGGTAGTATTTGATTGGTTAAACTTGGATCCACTTTGAATATTATTAGTTATTAACAGATAAGATAATTACACACACTCTAACACATTATTTGGCAAACAAAATAGTAAATAAATTTTGTGAATTTAACATTATTCATGTTACCGTTGTCATTTTCGTCTCCTAATTTGTTAACATTGCCTCTGATGGCATGCGTGGCTGCCTGTTAAGATTAATATATATAGAGATGATGAAATATAGTTAATGAACTAAAGTAGTTCGTTTATTAAAGGGTAAATCATATAATACCTTCTCAGGTTTGAAGTCTATTACAATCCTATACAACATCTTTAAAACATTTCACTTTCATACATCTCATTACCATTTTATTTCAAAATAATACATCTGTTAGATTTTCTATCCATTGGTTGTTAAATGCTGACGTGGCATTAGTGGATCCCGTTACACATCAGTCCACTCCCTCCAAAACTTGCACACGTGGAATTTTATAGTCCACGTCGAACCACGTGGACTGACAACATGGCAAATTTAAAATTAAAATGTTTCTTGAATCTCTAACCCACTATTCCCATCCCAGTAACCAACACAACCCCACTATCATCGAGCACACCACCATTCCCAAACCCAAAATCGAGAAGGATGAAGTTCTGGTAACCCTAGCCCCGGCAGTGAAACCTTACTTCCGTTGCAAAACCTTATTTTCATCACTCTCTACCCGTCGATTTCCTATCGGCGTCGTACCCACTACCCATAACAGCCCTTAACTTGTGACCTGCAACCCACAATCCACAACCCAGAACCAGCTCCCAATTGCAACGATAAGCAAGTGCTTCAAAGTGAAGGATTCGAAGTCGAAGGCTGAAAATGACTTGGGAAAGGAGGGATGATCCGTTAGATCCATTCCCAACATACGATTAGTGCTTTTTGGTTTCTTTATTTTGTGTTGTTCGATAATGCTTGGACTGTTCGAAAATGGTTGAAGTATTCAAAAATGTTGAGGATCTGAAATTGTGTGTACTTTGTAATTTTGGATCTATATTTCCTAATTTTAAATTGCTTTGTTCGAAAATGGTGGGGAACGAAAAGTTGTTTGGTGTTGTCGGTTAATGGAGGACTTTTGTCCTTGTTTAATCATGTTGGAAAAAAGCTTGTGGGTTATGTATGTTTGGCAGTGCTTTGTTTATACCTTTATTTGTACCTTGTGTGTATGATGCTTTATTTATGCTTTTATCTATGCCTTTAGTTGTGCCTTTATTTGGGACGCCACATTGTCATTTATGGTGTGTCTTTATCTGTGAATTGTTTTGTGGTCCTGGGTCTTGAATTTTAGGTTTCATCACTTTAAAATAGGAATTTTCATGCAGAAATTGGGGTTTCATCAGTTTATAATAGGGTTTTTTATGTTGCAATTTCAGGGAACAATGAACTATTCACAATCAAAATGTATCACGGTTGACAACTTAGTGAAGACTTCTATGTTGGAGGGAAGGTGGATTTCTTTGACTAATGTGACAAAGATTTCATGTCATTGCTCGAGGTTGACAATATGGTTGAGGAATTGGGATATGCGAATGTCTTCATGAGTTACCAGTATAGGATCCCAGTGATGGAAATTCGAAATAGGTTGAAGCCTTTAATGATAGATTCAGATGTTATCAACATGTGCAAATTTGTGCCAAACCACACTCTAATTGATGTGTATATTGAAAAGATAACACCCGAAGAATGTCTCTCAAGAGATGAAGTTTATGAAGTCATTTGAACCGGTTGCTCAGAGTAGGGTGATTACTGAAGAACTTGATGGTGGTAAGGATGACCAGTGCAATTTGATAGAGGAAATGCCAATGCAAGTGAATAGAGGAAAGGCCAAGCTAGCCATAGAATATCCAATTAGTGGCCTTAGTGGTGGATGTAGTGTGCCTTCCCAATGTGTAACTCAAGCTGTTGAAGAAGTGCCTGATGAAATGGGTGATAGAGTAGTTGGTGATGGAGTAATGGGTGAATGAGTGCCTGATGAAAGGGTAGCTGATGAAGAAGTGGCTGATGAAGGGGTGAAGGATGAAGGAGTGGCCGATGAAGGGGTTAAGGATGAAGGAGTGGCTGAAGTGGGTGATGAAGAATTGGAAGAAGAAGATGATGAGAATGACAGTGACTCCATAGAAGAAGAATTTCCTACTGATGAAAATCATTTACAGTTTATGAAGTTTGTAGATGATCATGTGGATGCACAGGAGGATGCAGTGTTGGCTAGCATTAAGGAACAAAATAAACCACAATATGGGAGGGATCTCGACAACAAAGGGAAAAATTTGAAGAAGAAATTGATGTAGATCTTGTTGGTGAGCCGGATTACAATTCGGATGGCCTTCACAGTGTACATGAAGATAAAGACGGTGGTCTAAGCAACATTGAGCATTATCCTGAGTTTAATTAGAAGACTGACATAAAGAACCCTCACTTGTCCTTAGGGTTGATATTTAGGGATGTCGCACAGTTCAAAAAGGCAGTAGTTAGGCACTTTATCATAAATGGGTATGGGGATGTCAATTTTCCACGAAATGAGAAGTTCAAGGTTGATGCAGCATGCAAAGAAGGTTGTCTGTGGCTTATCAAGTGCGGGAAGATGTGCAATTCAAATAAAATGCAGATAAAGAAGATTTTGGATCACCACATATGTGGTAGATTATGGATGAATAGGAATATGAAATAGTCTTAGCTTACTGAGCAATACTTGGAAATGATATAACTTAATCCAACATGGTCTGTTGAGTCTTTTATGGATACCATTGAAGCTAAATGGAAATACGGTTGCTCTAAGATGAAAGCTTATAGGGCTATGGTTGCTGTTATGAAGATTATAGAGCGTAAACATCTACACAAGATTGTGAGATTTTGCCGAGGAAATTAAAAAGACAAACCCGGGGAGCACTATGAAGATAAAGTTGGATGAATGAAGGTTTCAAATGATGTATGTGTGTTTGGGTGCATGCAAGGAAGGTTTCAAGTATGGTTGCAGACCCTTGATTGGTTTAGATGGTTGTCATTTGAAGTCTCAGCATGGGGGTCAATTGTTAGTTGTTGTAGGGATAGATCCCAATGATGAAACTTGGGTGATAGCTTATGCAGTTGTTGAGATGGAGAACAAAGATTTCGGGATTTGGTTCTTGGAGATTCTGGCCGAGGATATTGGGATTATAAATCAGCATTATTGGACATTCATTAATGACAAGCAGAAGGGTTTAATTCTTACATTCTTAACGGTTCTTCCTGATTTTCACCACAGGTTTTGTGTGCGGCATTTGTACACAAACTATAGAGAACGGTTTAAGGTAAGACGTTGAAAGATGCTTTATGGGTTGTTGCCAAGACCACTACAATTCTACACTTTAGAAGATCTGTGAATGAGCTTAGATTATTGAGTTAAGATGCATATGATTGGCTCATGAAGAGACCTGCCATTCACTGGAGTAGGTCCCATTTTCAAACGTATACCAAGTGTGAAATGTTGCTGAACAACTTGTGTGAAAGTTTCAATGTAGTGATAGTGAAGGCAAGGTCGAAACCAATTGTTACCATGCTTCATATTATTCATACCATGTTGATGAGAAGGATTTAAATGAGAAGAGACATTATGCCGAGACAACCTAGAGATTTGTGCCTTAAGATTAAGAAGAAGTTGGAGGTTGCAAAAATAGAGAGTGGTCAATGCATTGCTCAATAGTCTGGTGGGACTAAATTCCAAGTAGATGCTGGAGGAGGTGACCAATTTGTTGTTGACTTGACTGAACGTACATGTTCATGTCGGGGATTTAACCTCACTAGTCTTCCATGCAGCCATGCCATTGCTGCCATTAATTACAAGAGGGATAAGCCAGAATACTATGTGGATGTTTGTTATTCCAAGGTCATGTACTTGGAAATATATGGACACTTGATCCAGCCAATGAATGGGATGTCAATGTGGGAGGTCACTGAAAATCCACCTATCCAACCTCCTCTATATACTAAACAACCTGGAAGACCCAAGAAGAAGAGAAACAAAGAGGCTGCAGAAAATGAGAAATAAGCTAATCCTACACAAAATGAGGCCATTAACAGAAGTGGAGATATTCCACAGCCACAACATCTCTCAAAGAAAGGTCCATGGACCGTCAAATGTGGAATATGTAAAAAAAAAGGCCACAATACCAGGACTCATCACATGCATCTTCCTACAAGACAATAGGTGACATATAACCTTGTACAAAGTTATATGATTTCTAAGTTGATTTAAGACTTTATTAATCCTTGTTAGTACCATATTATATTGGACCTCGTTACTTGGGCTTCCAGACATTGAGCCCATGATTTATATAAAAGGGGAGAAGCCCTTAGTTTATAAAAAGGACTCCTCACCCTCACAATCCTCAAGCCTCACATCCCCGAGCAGAGACTTTCATATTTAGAGTAAAGCTCTCTCAAACTCTCTCTTTCTGTGGGGGACTCCCCCTCACATTTGTAATCCATACATACAGTTACAGAGAAATACAATCAACATCAGTGTGGACGTAGCCCAAACATTGGGGCGAACCACGATACATCTTGTGTTCTTTACTTTCTTGTAGATTCACAATCGGATTTACGTTGTTCCAAGACCTCCCGGTTTTGTGCATCAACATTTGGCGCCGTCTGTGGGAATCGACATGAACAGCTATGTCGGCTCTCTTTCATTTTTTCATCTCACCACCGTGAGATCTTACCACACTCCACCGTGAATATGCAGAAACCAAAGAACCAAACACCTGCACAGTCACTATAAGACCCACGTATCCCGCTCCAGCTCCCGGTCACGGCGGCAGCGATGGAAACACAATCACAGCATCTCTCTCTCTCTCTCTCTCTTACTCCATGCTTATGTAATGCGGGTGGTCTCTCATTACAAAATGACTACCAGG